AATTAGGTATACCAGAATTTATTGGAATCAGTGATAAGCCTTCTGATCACACAATCTTTGGATCTCGTAAATTGTTTTTCGATCGTCCGTTTTACAAACGGGGTGTTTTGTATTCAAAAGGCATTGTTAGCCTTAAATTTATTTAGAATTTCAGTAGTGATTTTACTGGAGTTTTTAGGATTTGGAATTTGGATGAAGCCATCGGCTCTTTCAAGTTTATAAATTGTTGTTGTATCGGAATCCAGTCTTGCCCTGAGAGAAAAATTTAGAATAAGAAAGGCAAGTAAATGGTGTAAATTGAGCTAGCTAAGATAGGTAGGTGTCTGTTCATACATACCTACTGAACAATATACCTAGGTACAGAAAATCCACAAAATAATAGTTTTTCTCTATATTCGTCTGGAACTTGAAAATAAATCATTTTTCAGATTTTGAGTAGTAAGTAATTTAAACATAAAAAACTTGGTTCCTCTTGGGGTTCAAAGTACAAATTTTTACGGTTTTTTGGCGGTTTCTAGGTCCCAAAGAATCAATCCAACATGTGAAAACGCGGTAGGTGTATACAGGGTCCTGCAACAGTTCGTCGATCTTTTCTATCTCAATCCTCGTAAAAAATATAAAAAATCCTTTTACACGGAGAAAAATGTATGTTAAAGGTAAGGTGTAGGTAAGTATAGGTAGTTTTACTATAGGTATATTGTTTTAACTCATACAAAAAAACTGTATGTAACGGCAACCATCTCATATGCATGCTTTTGTAATACGGGAGTAGTTGAAATAACATCTCCGCTTTGTATTAATAAGTAACTTAGATTATTGTAACTAATATACACACCCTGCTAAAAATCGACTGCACCAAAATTTCTCGGGAATTCTTATTAATTTTGGTGCGTAGAATCCAAAACAATTCGTACTTTTTCGATCAGACTTCTCAATCAAAAGTTATAGACTAGAAACCAATTCCGAAAGAAAATTCAAAGGGCTGTAACTTTTGAACTAGTAGCCCAATCTTGGAACTGTTTGAAATTATGGATTCTACAGGCCACATTCTATAAGAAAAATTTTTTCCGGGTCGATCTGAGACAATTTTTTTTTTCGGGGCTCAAAAAAAGGCAGTGTATAACCTTCCTTTTTTACCAAAAATCGACTACACCAAAATTTCTCGGGAAAACACTTTTCTTATTAATTTTGGTGCGTAGAATCCAAAACAATTCGTACTTTTTCGATCAGACTTCTCAATCAAAAGTTATAGACTAGCTAGAAACCAATTTCGAAAGACAATTCAAAGGGCTGTAACTTTTGAACTAGTAGCCCAATCTTGGAACTGTTTGAAATTATGGATTCTACAGCCCACATTCTATAAGAAAATTTTTATTCCGGGTCGATCTGAGACAATTTTTTTTCGAGGTTCAAAAAAAGGCAGTGTTATAACCTTCCTTTTTTACCAAAAATCAGGATACACACATATTGGTTTCGATATACAGGGTGTTACACGACCGTTCGAAAAAAAAAATCGGGTTGTAGAGGGCATCAAAACAAGCACTTTTTTCCAAATAAACCGAGGGTCCAACGTGTTTCGTTTGGGAGCCACCCCCCAAAGAGTGTTGAAATCTGCATTTCTTCTTTAATTTTTTTCTCAGCAACCATAAGAGTTACAAAGTCGGGTGGCATGTCTTTGAATAGGTTTTTGGGTATGCTCTTTTCCGATTTTGCAATTTTTTTTTCAAAATTCCTACCCCTAAAGGGCGCCCCCCTAAACTAGGGTGCAAAAAAAATTCTGATTTCGACGAAATTTGGTATCTGGGGTTTTTTTAACATGAAAATCACGAATCTGAAATTAGTTTTTGAAAATTCGAAAAAAAAAGTTCCACTGCAATTCTTGGCGGGAAAACGAAAATAGAGATAATTCCACGAAATTTGTTGTGTACATACTAAACGAGTTAAGGAACAAAACTGTCGAACAGTTTTTTAAAATAACTTTTCAAAGAAAAGTTATACTCATTTGAATGTTGGTCCTTCGGGTCGCGAAGTGTCCCAAGCCTACTAGTAAGCCATAATTTCGCATGTGTTGGTTGACAATGTCGCAAAAAAAAAAGATTAACGGTTTGAGTCGATATTTTGTTATTTGGAATTAATTCGGTCATTAAAAATGATTAAAAAATTCGATGTATCGATTAAAACACCTACCAAGGTATCTTAAAGCGCTGAAGTTCGCGTACCCATCCTTATCCCTCTCTCCGGGATTTGGGCCTACATTATCACGAAGATCCAACTTCGGGAATCCTGCCAAAGTGTAGGGAAAGGTTTTGCATGGGTTAATATGGGTGACGAAATTAAGCAATCTTTAAGGGCCCTAAACGAAGCTTCGGCTTCTTCAGACCATGCGAACTTCTTATTTTTGCGTACAAGTTTATTTAACGGGGCCGTTCGGCTAGCAAAATTGGGCACGAAACTCCTGTACCACGATGCGAGACCGATAAATCTACGCAGTTCCATTACCGTAGATGGCGTTGGAATTAATTTTCTCCGAATCCACCTGCAGTCCATTCTTGTTTACGATATACCCTAAATAACGTCGCTCACTTTTGACAAACTCGCATTTATCCTTATTTACTGTTAACCCCGCGGTGCATAGTCGACCTAACACGGTATCTAAAATGCGTAAATGAGATTCAAAATCTGAAGTCGCAATCACGATGTCATCAAGGTAGACAAAAACGTGAGGATCTAAGTCCATACCTACCACTCTATCTACAAACCTTTGCCAGGTGCATTATGTAGGCCAAAGGGCATTCGCGTAAATTGAAATAAGCCCCTACCGGGCACTGAAAAACCGTTTTCTCCTTGGATTTTTCCTCTAATTTGATCTGCCAATAGGCACTTTTGAGGTCGATAGAAGATAGGAATTTCGCCTCTCGCAGTCTATCTAAGATGACGGAACTGTACGGGAGAGGATGCGCGTCTCTTTTGGTAACCGCGTTAAGCTTCCGAAAATCGATACAGAATCTATATTCGCCAGTTGGTTTTTTAATTAAAACAACCGGGGAGGACCACGCGGAGTGTGACGGTTCCACTACCCCTAAGTTTAGCATCTCATCCAGTTCCCGATTAATAACCTTTTGGAGATACGGCGAGACCGGGTAATACCTTTGCTTGACAGGTGTAACGTCTCCAGGTATTTGTCCCATTCGCGTTGATTTTCGGAAACGTAAGACCTAATAATTGTTTTAATAACCCGATTCGTTCTTTCCGTGGGATTCGATTGGGCGTGATAATTGGCATTGAACAAGATGCGACACACGTATGAATTTGCCATTCTTTTAAAAATTTCGCTAATATACTGTTTCCCATTATCGCAAATAAGAAACTGGGGAACCCCATAAACTAAAAAGACCTCTTCCTCAATGAGCCTCTTTAGTTTACTCTTACTTTACATGCGTTTGGTTGACAAGGGAGACGGCCCCATTAAATCGGTAGCTATACTATCTGCCAAGGTTCGGAAACTTGTCGCGTACTCATAAACCTGTGCGCCCGAGTTTGTTCGGATTTTTGCGCTTTGTAGATTTCACACTCTCGCACATATTTGGCAATATCGCGAGTCATCCCTGGCCAATAATATTTTTCCCCGATCCGCCGCATTGTTAAAAAAAACTCTAAATGGCCTGCGATGCGATGGGTTCGTCGTGATACCGCGATGCGCGATCCTCAAATCAAACGGGACGGTTAACTTCCATTCCGAGCCCTCCTTGCCATTTCTTCTATGAAACAGTTTATAAATCGCAACCCCCTTCTTTCGTAAGTGCGGAATCTGGTCTGGCGCGTTAACAATTTGTTTAGACAACCGTCTATACCACGGATCCCACTGTTCTTCCTGTACTGTAATCACGTTTAAATGTTCCACGCCCCTGGATAGAGCGTCGGGTACCACATAGTGTGCCCCTTTTCTGTGAACAATCTCGAAATCATATCTGTAACCTCAGCGCACAGCGTTGTAACCTTCCTGAAGCGATTTGTAAACTGTTTAACCATTTTAACCTAAACGGCGCAAATATAATTCGATACGTTTCTTAAAATCACAACCACAAATGTAAATCGCTTTATTGCAAGGGCCTACGTATCGTGAAAAATGAATTGATTCTTAACATTTTCCAAGGTCCCGCGTCACCTGCAGACGAGTTTTGTAATCATACAGCATACTTCACTCGCATGGCGAATTTGAAGTATCTACAGGCTGGTCGCCGCCAACCTGTTATAGTGATGATAATGCTGAAACGACGAAGTATCTAAGACATTCCGTTACCGAAATATTGATCTATTTAAAAAAGTTGTAAGGTAACAATGTACCCGTGCCTTTATTTATGGGAGCGTGTAAACGCTCCTTTACAAATGCACTACATTGACATCTATGTCGCTAACTAATCATTAATGATAACATAATCAAGTGTCATTTCCACTTCCTAGTCGTAGGCCTAATCATGGCTGTATAAAAGGAGGATCCCTTGAGTTTAGAAGACACTTCTATCCTGTCATTTGATGACCGAAAACCTGAATCCAGACCCGAAACTGATAATCATTCATCCGATTTCCCGTTTGCATTCGATACCGTTTCCGTTCCGCTTATATCCTTAACCCACCTGTCCCTGCACCCTTAACCTCGCCATTCATTAGAAATCATCCAGCCCTTGAAAGACGAACCCTCAAACACCCGGAAGTTCGATACCTGTGGGGCCTGTGACCCGCATGTAGCCAGCTCCCGCTTGCTTGATTTAGTCCTAAGGTGTTGTGAACGTTAAGCGGAGGTAGTGGCCGTGTCACATCTTGCTTTTCGTTACCATACTATCACCAGTCCCTTAGATACGAGGCGAGTCAAAGTACGGGAACTGGGAACTGTGGGGCCTTCGACCTGCATTCCTCCAGTTTGCGACCGTTGATTCTGCTTCAACCTCGAGCGTGGTGTGCGGGGGTAGTGGCCGTGTCACATCCTGTGTACCACCTCTAGCATAAGTACCATACCGCACTGACGGGCCGAGTATTCGGAAGTGCTGGTGTCATTCACCTGAAATAGAACCCGGCGGCACCAATCATTCGCACCCCGATTCATCGATAGCTTACCAACTCCCGGATAAAAACCCGCTAATCGATAAACTTACAGCTACCGCCAAATTAGAGTACCGCTGAGCCGAGGCGATCCGCTCCGACATCTCGACACCTGAGATCGCCGCCATTGCCTTTTACCGCAACCCGAGGCAACGGCATAGCAGAATACTACCGTATCGACAACACCAGGGATACCAACTAAATAATAATTCTATATTCTGTGGTATAGATACACGGTGTTCAAAAATAAAAGGAAACTGGTGTGTAAATAAGTTTTATTTAGAAACCCTGGGGCACGACTGTAGCTACCCGCGTGCCCACCGAAAAACCCTTACAAAGTGTCCGAAGCAACCAATGTTCCGCCGATCGACAGTTAGTGAAACTACATACAGTGTGCCCCAGGTAGAACGCACCATAGGGAAACGGCAATGTATTTTTTACGTACGTTGAACACTAACTTCAAATACTCATACATACCAAAGACCTCGTGGATCTTTGGCGAAAAAATAAATTAATTCTATTTGCCTATGGTACAGTTCCCCCTTTGAATAAAATTCATGAATTATCAATTTAGGTAATGACTTCCAGTGTTCAAACTAGGCGATGCAGGAAGAACTCGAAGGTAACCTAATGTTGTAATACCGAATGTTATACGCTGTTCCGTTGCTCCCTTTGTCTTAATATGAAAACGAAATTCATAAATTATGGACTTCGGCGACGGCTTTCAGATTGATGTGTAATCGATGCAGGAATAACTCGATAATACGAGTCTAATGATTAAAATGTCACAACTGTGCGGTATTTTGTTGTCGAATGTCGAGATCGGTATATAAGAAGCTTAAAAGGGCGCCTAAAAAAAGAACAGTTAGTGAAACTAAGGCGATTATTGATGCAAAAAAAAATCATAACTCCCTTAGTTTCCAATCGATTTCGAGAAATAAAGAAGCATTGGATTCGTATTTTAAAGCGTCACAAACTTCCTTTCCTAACTTTTTCTGAAAAAAATAATAATAACAAAGTTATTAGCAAAAAACGTGAAAAACCAAAATGGCGGCTCAATTTTCAGGATGTTCCGCACCTCGGACATATGGGGACTTTTAGTATGTTGAAGAGCATTATTGGCACTACTAATTTCGGGCACCGGTTGCTTGTCCCGAATTTGTTCTAGGTTTGAGCAAATATTACTCTAATTTTACTCGACTACGTAACATGTATTCTATTTTTTGCACGGATTAGTTAAATCAAATTTATATAAATTCAAATCCATTTCGCGAGATTTTTGCGACATTATAATTCTTTTGAAAAAATCAAGTCCTCTATTCCGATAAAGTAGAAATCTAGAAATTTCAAATGTCAATTTATTGTTCAAAACTTCTAGTTTAAGCTTATTTTTGCCCTTGTACTACAGGGAATGATGTAAAGTGTATTTATATTTTCTTTTTTACTCTTCCATCATACTACCAGAGTTGGACTGGGTCAAGCATACAGTGACCCAGTGACCCGGTGACCCAGTTAGTTTACTGACCCGGTGACCCAGTGACCCGGTGACCCAGTTGACCCGGTGACCCAGCTTGACCCGGTGACCCAGCTTGACCCAGTTTGACCCAGTGACCCAGCTTGACCCGGTGACCCAGCTTGACCCGGTGACCCAGTTTGACCCGGTGACCCAGCTTGACCCGGTGACCCAGCTTGACCCAGTGACCCATCTTGACCCAGCTTTACTCAGTGACCCGTCTTGACCCGGTGGCCCAGTAATTAAATTATTGTTAGGTATCATCCAAAACAATTTCAAGGAACTTTTAATTTTAAAAAAAACTTCCTCAATAATATTCGCCAACAAGCACGTAGCCCAATTTCATTCAAGAGAACTGATACCTAAAAAAATCAAATGCATTTGTTTATAGTTTGTAGTCAAGTAGTCAATGAAAGTATTTAGAGAAAAGATTTATTTGGATTAAGCTAACTAGTAGAAAAAAATTAAATGTGAATGAACACCTGTAAGCAAACTGGTAAGCCCTGAAGCAAAGAAACGAAGGAGGGAACTGTTTAGAAATAACATTATTCTAATACAATTCGGGACATGGAAAGTTTTTTACGGCAGTATTGAAGCAAACATCACAGAAATGGCAGTTGTCAAGCAATCGAGTATTATTTTCAACAAACCAGCATTTCATTTATTTCATAATCTGTACACTTGAACCGAGGGGACTGACTTAACTGCGTTATTCGATCAAACTAGTTACTGGGTCGAATTGGGTCTCCGGGTGAAATTGGGTCGCTGGGTCAAACTGGGTCACTGGGTCAAACTGGGTCAAGTTGGGTCACTGGGTCAAGTTGGGTCAAATTGGGTCACTGGGTCAAACTGGGTCACTGGGTCAAACTGGGTCACTGGGTCAAACTGGGTCACTCGGTCTAACTGAAAAGAGTATGACGTGACCCAGCGACCCAGTGACCCAGTTTAATTTAGTGACCCAGGTGACCCAGTTGACCCAGTGACCCAGTCCAACTCTGCATACTACTTATTAGTTTATGATCCACACTAAATAGATAATTTCGTTGAATTTTTGGGCACTAGTGCGCGAAAGTAGATAGTCAATTGTAAAATTGACGTTCCCGACGTTCGTGTTTTATTGGGAAAACGCGATTTAGAACGAAGGAGTGCAAAAAAGTATTTCAACACAATCCTAGATTCACATAGTGCTAAAAACATGACCAAAAAAATTAAAGGTAAAGTGCCAGAGGGATTGCACGGCGTGTTTGTCTAGGAATTTTAGTCAGTAACAAAACAAAAAATGAAAGGCAACAGGGTTTCAACGTTAGAATACATTATCTACTCGTTTTTATTTTAAATAAGCAAACAGGTTATGCATGACCTACCATGTGCACACAGTGACACCTTTACTCCGACCAAAAGGTTTGAAGTCTAATTAAATCCTTGCAAACTATGGCTACTCACAAAATTAGACTATTTTCATGCATTCAAATGTTGCTTTGAAAGAAATTTGTTGGAAAGTTTTTATTAATTGTAGACGTAAAGCTTTACTCCTACAAACAGTTTGCTTCAAGCTTTCGCTTATTAAACCTTAATGAACATCTCTTTAATAGAATCCGAGTTTAATGACAAATTAAATAATTCGTTTAGTTAATAATTCACAGTGGCAGGACTGCGAGCTGATGAATAATTTAAGAAATTGTCCACCGATTTTATTATGCAGCGCGAACATTACATTTACGATGGTTACCGGTAATTGCTATTAAAATCATAATCAGCTGCAATTATTATATTTGGAAATTCGTACGAGTTCACTTTCACGAAACTTTACAGGGAGAATGAAAAGGTATTCATCCGACAAAGGGGATTGAATAAATTAATTAATTATATCGACACATAAAACGTAAAGCGAAACATAATTTCATACAATTACAACCTGTATAGCATTTATAATTAACCTATTGCTGTCTAAAAACGATTTAGTATTGGACACATACTTTATATACAGTTCAATTTCTATATAAGGGTTGGTTTTGGATTTTTTTTTTGTATTTTCAATATACCTACCTAACAAGGAGTAGGTAGGTACGCTACGCTTCTATCTGAGCATGTAGCATTTACATTAACTTTTTGTAGTTTCTTTTGAGCGCATTCTTGTGAAATTAAAAAAAAATGCTATTGTTTGCATTGTGTCCGTTGGTACGTCAGATCGGCCGGGCCCAATAGTATCCTTGGGCGTGGCCCACTTCTGCGGTTTTACGAGAGTTCTCAGCAAGCACACGTTTAACAAGTTAAAAGATAATCGTAAACGATTTACAAAAAGCGCATTTCCACTTGCATTCATTACTCATTTGTAAGATGCAACTTCTGCTAAAATCGTAAAAATCCGGCCACAAATATGAAAGATAGCGTTGCACATGTGCAATCCATTTTTGACGTGCTACTTCAATTTGTGTTTATAAGAAGAATTTCATTTCAATGCTTTTCTAAATAAGAAACTGAGCATGTGCAAATCTAAATTTTGAAACTAACGTTAGATTTTCCTTTATTTCAAACGCCTATGTATCAAATTTCATTTAAATGCTTCCATAGATAAAAAAGTTGGCACTGGGCATGCGCAAAACCAACTTTTGAAACTGGCGTTTGATCTTCCTTTATTTTAAGTGCCTATGTATCAAATTTGGTTTAAATTCTTCCATAAATAAAAAATAATTTGGGACTGCGCATGCGCAAAACCAAATTTTGAAACTGGCGTTAGATTTTCCAATTCAGTTCATAACTGAAAGCGATCGGACATTTCTAAACAAATTTATCGTTCACACGGACAGATAGATGGACAGACAGACAAAGGAACAGACGGACAGACCAACAGACAGACAGCAATACAAAATTATAAACGATCTCTAGAATCGTTAATAAACGGCAAAAGTGTAAAATTATGGAACATGTAAAATAGGTACGGTTTTTTGTTTTTTTTACAATAACTGTTTTAGCAGAAAAAATTCCTTCCTTGGTGCAAGCCTCGACACCATAACAAACCAAATAGCGAAAAAAGTAGAACAATAGCTCTTAAGATAAAGAACTAGTAGCGTCTCAACGAACGAGCGGACGGACGGACGGACAAAGTGGCCACAATAGCGCATTTTTTTAAATTTTTGTTGAAATGCGCTAAAAAGGTACAGATAAATACCATATTATATAAGGTTCCAAAAATGATAACCAAGTTGAGCAACAATACTGGCAAACCCCGGTACAGATCTGGTCACTGGTAAACAAGCAGGTAGATGGCAAAAAATAGACATTTCCAAACATATTAATTGATCGTGATACAATTGATATACCATCATCATCTGCAAAAATCGGAAACGTATTAATTCCCCTCCAGATATAAATCAATTATAGTAATTGCACTTTTAATATTCCCATTCATCGTGATCCTTCATTGAAAAAGTTATTTATACTGTGAATTACACGTCAGATTACGTTTTTGAATGTTTCCTAGATTATTGTGTGATTTTAAGCGGAAAGTGGAGCAATTGAAAAAAGAAACAAAACGTGTCGCTGTCTCCATCATAATATTGAAGAACCGGTGTGAGCCTTAGAAAATTCTTTACTTCTTTAAACTTGATTGTAACCACGGTCGTATACACAGGTTTGGAAACTGTTGTTTGAGATGAGGCTTTTACGTGTCGTTAAACTCGTAGTCATTCGCTTAGCTGCTAGGTGGCGTGTAGATCTAGGGATGTTTCAAGTCTCTAGATTACTAAAGTAATGCGAATAGCATCCCTTTTGGCCATTGAACTATATACTCTGTAACTGGAACGGCATCGCCCG